GCTGCAAAGGCTTCCACCTAGTGTTGGATTCGGTTCGGGCCACCCGGTCCGTGACCCGGCCCGGCCCGGTACTGTGCGGGCCCGAGACCGGCCCGGTCGGGCGGTCCGGGACCGGGTATGGGCCCGAACCGGCGGGAAGGGGCGGGGCGGGCTCGGTTCAGCATTATTGTGACCCGGCCCGGCCGGGTCGGGCCCGGGCCCGGGTCCGGTTCAATTTAATTTTTTTTTTTTTAGGTTTGGGCTCCTACTAGCCGTTGGGGGTGGGGCTGGGGACAACCCAAACGGCTATATAGCCGTTGGGTGGGGTAAAGGGGGGGTTCGGGGGGGTTGGGTGGGGGGGGGGGGTGGTGGGGGGGGGTGGGGGGTAAAAAAAACCTATAAATACTCCTAATCTTAAACATTTTTTCATATCTCTTCTCCAATTCTTCCTAAATCCTATTCTTATCTCTCTACTCTCTAATTCTCTTATTCTCCAATATATTATATATCTACTCTCATATTCTCTTCTCCAAGAAGTTAAGATGGAAAATCAAAATGCCATTATACGATATAATTTTGATAAGCAGAAGGACCCGAAGACCGGGATGTGGTACGCAATTTGCAAATGGTGCGAAAAAAAATGTATCATGGGGGCTTCAGGCGGATTCGGGATGACAATCAAGCATATGAAGTCATGTGACAAAGCCAAAGGATCGGGAGGTGCAGGAAGTTCCGATTGATTACAATTTTCAAAATGTTTATCTCTTAAAGTATGTTTTAATTTTCAAATGTAGTTCCTATTTCATTTCAAATAAATGCAATTGAAGTTTGTTTTTAATACTCGTATAAAACTATAAACTATAAAATATAAATTATATATATAAAAAAATTAACCGGCCCGGCCCGAACCCGACCCGTGACCCGGGCGGGTGGCCCGGCCCGAACCGGACCCGTCCAACCCGCGGGCCGGTCCCGGGCCCACTTTTCTTGAACCGGCGGCCCGACCGGGCCTAGGCCCGGCCCGGGCCCGACCCGAATCCATCCCTACTTCCACCTATAGTGGGGTAAGGGGGGGGGGGGGGGTCGGATGTACGCAGTCTTAACCCTGTACTAAAGTACGGAGAGACTATTTCCGGATGACCCATAGTGAAAAACGCGTCAAAAATTGCATGGACTGACGGTTGCTTCATAACAAAGAAGCACATACAGTTTAGTGAGCTCATTTGCTTTATTCCATCATGTTCCCAAGCCAAAAAATAATGAGTTTTTGGCTCCATTGCAAATGATGGAATTTATACAGGCATTGTTATTAAAAAGGAAAAATAATTAAAATCCTTCAAACTTTGATGGGGTGTGAGCTAAGCAAGAATTACCAATTATTAAGAAGTAACATAACAATTATCAAGTATCAAGAAGTGCAATATACTCTTGGCTTCTATACTTTATTTTCTTTCCTTGTTTATAGCTAGCTCTAGTTTGGTGGCTACCATTTCGTCCAGTAAGGACTTCTAATTGTATATATGGATGTACACCCATTACATGGTTGAATGAGAAAACCTTACATGAAATTTTCCAGTTATTATATAATTTTAGAGTAACATAACAATGCAAGTATCAAGAAGTGCTATGAACTACTTGTGTGGAATCAAGCTAGAAAACTAAATGGGTGAAGGGTTGTCCATAAATGTGCCAGTAATGTGAAGAGCATTCAAAAGGGTGGTGTTGCCAGAAAAGGGTAGCAATTGAGAAGCCTAACGTCTACCATGGGCTTTCCAAAGTCTAGTGTCTACACATAATGGTTAAATTAAGCATCAAAGACATTCATCTGCTATCAAAAGGTAGGCTAGTTAGAACATCTCCAATGCTACGATGTGCACGGTGCACATGTGGCATGATAGAGAGACGCATAAATATCAGTAAATAAATTTTTTCTTCTTATTTGAATGATTTTATGCAGTTTTGGTAAGTTTCTCTCCACAATGTCAAGGAGACCGTCTAGATGTTGACATTGCAGAGAAAAACTTACCAAAATTGTATAAAATCATTCAAATAAGGAGAGATATAATTTATTTGCCAATATTTATGTGGTTATTTTTCATACCACATGTGCACCGTGCACACTATAACATTGGAGATGCTCTTAGTGTTTTATACTTTTATATAAGCCACATAGTATCTCATAGCTTCCCAAGCCATATAGAAGTCCCCTTTTGTTAACTTTACATTCAAATTGACGAAAGATTGTTTTTCTTATTTTAAGAAGCTATTTGTTTCTAGACTCGCCCTAGCAAAGAAGAACCACACCAATATGTGTAATCTAAGAAATTCATACCAAAATTATATTTTTAATAATTGTGGGTAGAGCTATGTTTGGGATACTGGAAATAATATATCAAAAGGATATGGTGAACCATCTCATTTGGCATATAAAGAGAGAGAGAGCTAAGATTAGAATGACTCGAGGGTTAATATGAAGTTTTGTGAGCAACCAGATTCAAGTGGTCATTTTACAAAATGAAAATGTGAATGTTATTTTTAAGAATATATGAAGGTTTTATTGAATTTCTTTAGTTCGGTTCGGTTTTTATCGATTTCAATTCGGTTCGATTTAATACGATTTGGAAGAAATACTACCAAACTCAAATCAAATTACATATGTTCGATTTAGGTTCAATTTAATTAGATTTGGTACGATTTGGTTCGGTGAAACCAAACCAATATGTCCACCCCTAGTATGAGGTATTTCACTCATACCTCATACATCATTTTTACAAATTAGCAAATTCTAATCTTATCAGTTCTAAAATTATCAAATAGTTTCTCTTATATATGAGGATAGAGAAAACAAATACTACCTCATTTTTATTTAATCTTTTGTTTTGAGATTCTTATTTGCTCCGCTTGATTTGGCAAAATTTAACATATCAAAATACATAAATACACTTTTTCAGTCTCATAAAACTTGGCCAAAGTTGATTTGCATGTAGAATAATAAAGTAAAATTGTGTGATTGATACTTATGCAGAAGAGAGAGAAATAACTATAGTCACATATTTCTTACTTTAAATGGAAATGACAAATTTTTTTGGATAATAAAAAAAGAAAGTTGACTAAGTTTTATGGAACGGAGGTAGTATTTAACTTTGTCTTCTCATTCTTATGATTTCTACATTTTATTTTAAGAAATTGCATTTAATAGAAGTAATAATGTCTGTGACTTTTTAAACAGGACTAATGTGTTTTTATTTTCTAAATAAAAGCAATTACTATTATGTTTTGACATTATCAGATAATATCTTTAAAATTTGACGCAATTACTCCTATTTAGTGAATAAAAACATTGTACTCATATTTTGGAATTTTAAAACGTTTTTATGTGAGTTCATTTACTCACTTCAATGCGTTTATTATATTAATATTAAATACCGGTAGGAGCAGACATAGAAAATCATAAATGAGGCTTTAATTGTAAATATAGAATGATATTTATTCTCACATAGTTCAATGCAACACTATATTTGATAAGTTTATTATACACTATATTTGATAATATTCTCGTAATTTAAATCTTTTGTATACTCCTTCCGGTTCTGAAAGATCTTCACACTTTTCATTTTTGGCAGTATCACAATTATCTTTACACTTCCTTATTTGCCTTATTTGGCAAACAAATCTACACAAAACAGTGTCAAACAGTGTCAAACAGTACCAAACAGTGCATTCAACAGTAAAGTCAAATTTATTTCATTAAAAACTGTGAAGTCAAGGTGTAGAGATCTTTCGTAACCAGAGGGAGTATATATTAAATACCAAGCAATAATTTTTTTAATATGTGTGACACTTTCTCACGTCTTATAGTCTAAGTAGTAACCCAATGTATTAATTTTTATTATTAGTTATCAAATACAAAAGGATCTTATACAATCCCCACTAGTTCTTATTTAATTGTAACACCTTGACTTTCACATTCATGGACATATATATAATACATGTAATTTTTATTATTATAATCATTAAAAAGTTATATCTTGATATTTCACATTAGAACAATAATGTGAATTTAATATTCCCTACGTTTTGATGTCTCAAAATGAAGTCCCCAATTTTATAAAAAAGAACATTTTAAATAAAAATGTCATAACTAACTTTTGACTATTTTTTCTCGAATTTAATATTCCCTCATAAAGTTTTTTTGACTATTTTTTCCCGATTTAGCATATGATATATTTAGAAAGTCAAAATAATGTTATGTCAGTAAATAAACACTCTCCCCCATATCATTTTAACTCATACTCCATACGTATAATAGATTTTTTTCAAGTATATTAAGATAATGTTGTATGTTAGTGTACAAAAAAAATAAGCCATCTAACTTTCATTAAGTGTACACTTTCTATTTAAGTGTATTGAAAATACTTGGGATAACTATCAAATAAGCTCTTGAACTTTCAAAAAATTTGCAAATAAGTCCTTTTATAGGAGGCTCTGTCCGACCGTCGCCATTTGGGGCGGTTTCCGGTGAAATGTTTTGATAAACTTTTTTGAGTATTTTCTTCATTAAGTCTAGTTTATTCATACCAAATTTCAGCTAAAAATTCAATCGGGAAGGCAGTCAAATGAATTTTTGAAGATAACTGCGCAGTTAGACAACGCAATATATTTCAGAAAATCATTTGACTGCTTTCTCGATTGAATTTCAGCTGCAATTTGGTATGGGTAAACTAGACTTAATGAAGAAGATGCTTAAAATATTTCATCAAAAAATTGCATCGAAAACCGTCCCAAATAGCGATAGTCGGACAAAGCCTCCTGTAAAAGAGTTTATTTGCACTTTTTATGAAAATTCGAGAGCTTATTTGATAGTTCTCCCAAAATAATTTTAATATTGATTCATTTCTCAATAAAGCAAATATTATATGCAATATTTAGGAGTGTTTGAAATTGATTCTGTTTTTCCTTTTAAACAGATTTTGTGCTTTCATTTGATATATTTTGTTATACGAGAAAATCTTTTAAATTAGGACCGAGAGATCCCCTCCGATTTATTCCTTTCATGTCTGCCCCCAACACCCTTCACTTTCTCTTCTCGCATCAGACAGATTAAACCCCCCTCCTTCTTCCCTACCGACCAGCAGAGCTTATTTTTCCCCCGGGAAGCAGCTAGACGATGGTCATACGCTAGCCGATTATAGTATTCAGAAAGGTAAACGTAAATCTAGGTTTTTCCGTTTTTGGACATTAAGACGCAATTGTGGTAGAACTGATATTGTTATTATGCCTAATTTGGAATTGGAATGATGTGGTCATGAAGTTTAACCGAGAGAAACGATCTGCTGCAAGTACGCTCTCACACAACAATCTTTATTGATATATGCCTAATTGTTTTTATAATCCTTTGGATATATGCATGTTCAAAAAAAAAAAATACTAGTTCAAAATTCAATTTCTGGAAATTGTTTTTACTGTAATTAAGTTAGGGTTTTATCTCTTGAGTATTCGTCTAAGGACTCAATCTTTTGTTGTTGTACTGCACAGGGAAGAAAAGACACTTTGCTCTTCCTACAATAATGTTTTTGGCTGTAAATCGTTTGATTGGTGGAGCAATTTAAACTACAAAAGGTGAAACCTTGTGTTAGGGGGACTGATCTGAGAAAAGATTGTTACTTTCTCTCCTTGTTTGTAAGACCAGTGTGATGGACCAAGGTACAACTTCCAACTCAGTTCCACAAGATGATCCTATTGACAAGTCAAGGGTCTTGGATATTAAGCCCATGAGAAGTTTAGTTCCTGTGTTTCCATCTGCAAATGGGATGTCATCCATTGCAGCTCCCCAACCTTCACCCTTCACGTGTGTTCCTCCAGTCGGTCCTTTTCCTCCTGGAGTTGCCCCTTTTTACCCATTTCTGGCTCCGAATGACTCAGCAAGACAAACAGAACAACCTCCATCGGGTTTTACTCAGCCTATATCCCCTATTCCTCTAAACTCGTTCAGAACTCCAGCATCTAATGGAGGATCTGGGAGAACAAGGAGGACCACCACTAGAATTGACACAGAAGAAGATGACGTTGACAGTGATCAGAGTGACCAGTATGGCTATGGCGTTCAAGCAAATAACGTTGAAGACGCCAGTACTCCAAGGAGAAGGGGTAGATCGCGAAAGAAGACAAAGATTATAGGCCAGCAGGGGGACCCACCTGTTGAAATGGATTATGACTCGATTTTGTTCAGCTTTCTAGAATCGTTTAAGCTGACCCAAGTAGATGCTTCCAAAAAAGCCGATGGTGATAAGGACCTTGTGGGACGCATACTGTTGGTTTATGATTTGTTAAGAAGGAAAATGACCCAAATTGAAGAGGTGAAAGATCCATCTCCAGGATCTTCCAGGCGCCCAGACTTGAAGGCCGGTACGATGATGATGGCAAAAGGGGCCCGCACGAATCAGACCAAGAGAGTTGGCAATGTGCCCGGGATTGAAGTTGGTGACATCTTCTTTTTCCGGATGGAGTTATGTGTGGTGGGGTTACATGCCCCAACCATGGCTGGGATAGATTATATGAGTGTCAAGCTGTCTGCAGATGATGAGCCTCTTTCTTTAAGCATAGTCTCATCCGGAGGTTATGATGATGAGGGGGATGATGGGGAGGTGCTAATTTACACCGGTCAAGGTGGAGTGCAGAGAAGGGATGGACAGATGTTTGATCAAAAACTTGAAAGGGGAAATCTTGCTCTTGAGAAGAGTCTCCACCGCTCCAACGAGGTGAGAGTTATTAGGGGCGTGAAGGATCCATGGACCACAGGTAAAATTTATCTCTATGATGGCTTGTACAAAATTCAAGAGTCATGGGCAGAGAAGAACAAATCTGGATGCAATATTTTCAAGTACAAATTGGTCAGAATACCTGGACAACCTGAGGCTTATGTCTTGTGGAAATCAATTCAGCAATGGAAGGATGGTATTAGCACAAGAACTGGGGTCATCCTGCCTGACTTAACTTCTGGTGCAGAGAGTCAACCAGTTTCTCTGGTCAATGACGTTGATAATGAGAAGGGACCCGCTTATTTCACTTACATCCCAACTCTAAAAAATCCAAAACCCTACGACATGCCTAGTCCTTCTTTGAGCTGTCATTGTGTTGGTGGCTGCCAACCTGGCCACTCTAACTGCTCGTGCATCCAGAGAAATGGAGGCTATCTGCCGTATAATGCTCTTGGGGTTCTTTTAACCTTCAACAGTATGATACACGAATGTTGTTCATCTTGTCCATGCCCTTCCAATTGCCGAAACCGAATGTCTCAAGCGGGTCTTAGGGTCCGGCTTGAGGTTTTCAAAACGAAGAACAGAGGTTGGGGACTGCGGTCATGGGATCCAATCCGTGGTGGCTGTTTTATCTGTGAGTATGCTGGAGAAGTCATTGATGACTTTGGAAGCGACAGGGAAGACAATTATATATTTGATGCCTCCAGGAACTATCAGACACTGGAAAATTTGCATGATGAGAATGGGAACTCTGAAAAGATCCCATTTCCTCTGGTTATCAGTGCGAAAAACCATGGAAATGTTGCTCGTTTCATGAACCACAGTTGTTCACCAAATGTGTCCTGGCAGCCGGTTGTGCGTGGCAGTAACAATGAAGCTTTTTACCATGTTGCCTTTTTTGCGACTAGACATATACCTCCCATGCAGGAATTAACCTTTGATTATGGGATGGTTCAGTCTGAAAAAGCAGCACAGATGAGGAAGAAGTGCTTGTGCGGTTCGTTAAATTGCAGAGGATATTTTTATTAGTGGCCAACATGGAGTGTTTGTTTCCACATCTAGTATAACCTCTGGTAAAGGTCAGTAACCTCTATTTTTTCTGCTTGTGTAAGTCCAAAGATTTAAGCTGATCATTTATGTAACTTTTCAGTGCCTTGTTTATGTAAACATGCAGCATGTTCATTGCACGTGAATCATTCATGTTATAACTTATAACTATAAATTAGCACGATATAAATATAAAAACAATAATAAGTTTATTGTATAAAGATTAAAGTTCCCGTATTCAATAAAAGATACTCTCTCCATTCCACAAAGTAAGATTCACTTTGGGTTTGGCCCGTGTTTTAAGAAAATAAAGGATATAATCGTTCTTTTATTATTCTAACCTTCAAAAAGCAAAAAGCAAAAATAGTATGGCTTCACAAAAAGGAAAAAGTTGAAATGATATACAACAACAACCAAGGCTTATTTCCAAAAGAGTTTGGGATAAAAAAAGGTGAATTGATATATAAAGTGTTGCTCTTATAATCATCATCATTAACCCAGTGCTGCAAAGGCTCCCACCTACAGTGGGGTGGGGTAAGGGGGGTCAGATGTACGCAGGCTTACCCCTGTACTAGAGCACAAAGAAATTGTTTCCGGATGACCCATAGTGAAAATTGAGTCAAAAATTGCATGGAATGACGGCTGCTTCATAACAAAAAAGCGCAGACAGTTAGTGTTGCTCCTATAATCTATGAATTATTTGCCTCAATAAAAGGAAAAGATCCAAACAAAGAAACACATAGCTTTTGAGTACACAAGTTAGTGAAAAGGCTACTTTTTGACCAATTTAAATAGGTAGTTTTTTACTTATTTATTCTTTGGACAAGAAAAGGAATGGTTTACATCTACTTATAAATTGAGTCTAGCATTATAAATCTATAATAAATATTATATGTGGGGCATAATACTCGCGACTAACATCTCAAAGCTATTGTATCTGTTGGTAGGTTAAATAAAAGAAGTGAAGTAAAATCAGAAAGAAGAGAGTGGACTTAGTTCTATTATATTTGATCTTCATTAGCATAGAAGTATTACCACCTTCATTAGCCATGGTGAAATTCTCTATATGCTCGCGTGTAATTAGTGGGAAATATAAATCGCAGACCTGATGTGTGCACTGGCAAATTAAGAGAGAACTAAAAGTCAGAAACAACAGTGTGCTTACTAGTTACTATTATAGAACATATGTCCATAGAAGTATTAGTATCTCCATTAGTTAGGGTTAAATTTGTTTAGAGAAAATTGCGAGCAATACGACCAAAAGAGGTGGTGATTCGTAAAATATGACTAACTTGTTTTTTATTCTTTAATTAGTGGTATCTTGCATGTATGATACTTATTTTGATGTTATTTTTTCTCCCTTCAATTTATTTCTCATATAAATGCATACTTATGTTTGGTGGTCATATATTAGGAATCCATCAATCTTTTAGTCATATATAGATAAATTTCCCATTTGTTTATAAGCTTATGTGTAATTCAATTGGAAACATAAATCCTACCCAAAAATCAGCATCACTTTCTCAGCTTTTTGAGTTATAAATTTGAAAAAACACTTTTTAGACTATTGACAAAGGCTGTGTCAGTTTAGTTGCTAACTTGCAGACTCAAGGTTGGGCTTTTAGGTCCCTTTAAGGTTGAGGATGGTGACATGGTGTAAATGTGATGTGCTTTTAGGCACACTTTTAATTGTAAAATAAGCAATTGTTGTTATAAATCTTTATAATCATAGTCAAATTCAATTTTTTTTTCGCGTTATAATAGGACTGCTAGTGCACTGTAAAAGTTTGTAAATTTTAATCACTGACGTTTAATAAAAGATTACACGAGAATAACTTTAACTTCAGCCACATCTCAGAATTCAGAATAGCTGTATAGTTTCTGATCTTTGAGATCACTTGTTAAAATGCTCTGTATTTCTGTGTCCGTAGTCTTCCATCATTTATTTATAAAGAAGATATAATTGCTGACAATGCTGTTATTTCTAACTATTGCCAGATGATGGGGACGAAATTCCAGGAATGCCCTGTTCGCCTGCCATCCAGTTGTTGTACTATGTAGCTCTAGCAGTAGTACTTTTTGTTTCTGGGGGTAGTCTGACCAGAACTATGTTGTAGTGTCTGTTGTATCAATTATAATACATAGTACTAATTATATATTGTATGGTGATTCGGAGATCTAGCCTCTTATGGTTGACTTTCTCTTTGATGCTTTGACTTTTCAATTTCTTTCTTCATTTTCCTTTAGGATTTGTATGATTTTTCCTGATTTTGGGGTATGTTAAGCATTTTCCGACTTCAGCTTATTTTTCCCTAGTCTAGAGGTTGGTTGCCCTTTCTAATATTTTTGTTGACCGAGTAATTTAATTTAATATCTTGTTATACATGTATTTGCAAACGCCTCCTATTTTGTTTGTCAAGAGTCAAGACAATTTCCAAAATTTCTGGGTTGTTTGGACGAATTGCCTGTACATAAACGTGTGAAAAAATGTGTATAAAACTATAAAAGTAATCAATTTTAACGGTAGATTTGTCAAATGCTTGATTTTGCTTGTTATTGGACATGTTTTACATATTTTAAAGAAAAGAATAGCTAAAAAAGAGAACATGAGTATGATATGTTTTACAAAATGAAAAAAGTGTGTTATGAATAATAATAATAAACCTTCAAGAAAATGGGTCTGGTTCGGTCTATCGATCGGATCTAGTATGATTTGGCATGATTTAGCATATAGTTTGATTTGATCTGATCTGATTTGTAATTCAGTAATCTTGAGTCAATATCTATAGTGTAGTCAACCTTATTTTATATGCCGGAGTTCACCTTCTTCCGGGTTCAAATTTAGCAGCAGCACTATGAAATACTCCCTCCGTCCCTTTTTAATTGTCCCGGAAGAGGGTGACACGAGTTTTAAGAAAAGTAGGTTTGTGTGGTTGATATTAATAGATAAAGTAAGAATAAAGTAAGAATAAAGTAAGAATGATTTTGAGTCACACAAACTTTACCAAATAAGGTATGAGATAATTAAATAGGGACATCCCAATATGGTAAAATGAGACATTAAAAAGAGGACGGAAGGAGTATTTCATTTGATATACTACTCCATTTTATGTCGAGTAGGAACGTGGCGGCATCCATCCTAACATGTCAAAAACATTCACCAGAGTGACCACACTTTTAGTATATTCAACATTTTTTATGAGGGTGAATTCAAATAGTATTTGTCATTGATGTTTTCGGTTTTCCCTTTTTTAAGTTTTACAAGTAAATATTAATGACACAATTTTAATTTATTAAAATCATGTCCATACAAATGAATTATATAAGGACGTGTGAATTAAAGAGGTTAAGAAAAAACTAAAACGTAACTCCAAAAGTATAGAAAGAATTTGGACCCTCATCTATTCGGAAAAACATGAGATAAGGTTCACTAGACTAGCATAAATTGTAGTAGCACTAACTTCATTAACATACTAGTACAAGCCTAAACACACACATATACATAATATATATTGTTGCTTAAAATTTCGCAAGATTTGACTAACACGTAGAATAATAAAGTAAGAATGTGTCACTAGGATTTATGGATAAGAAAGAAAAAAAATAAGAATCACAAATCAATTGATTACAAAAAAAGGTAAAGTTTTGGTGAAACTATAAGGAATGAAGGTAGCTACCCCCATGCTCCTGTTTAAGATTCTCCTCATATTTATTATATTTGGTTCAAATAACTATGAACTTAATATGATTTTCTTAAATGATGATTCTCTAATTCGGGGTTAGTTTGAGTGGTCCAAGAGTGTGTTCAATCTCTTAACTTTTTGTTGGGAACATGGCAGTGCTTGATTTATTAGTGACGTTTCCCTCAAAGTTGAGGTGGGAATCTGATGAGTACACACAAAATCATTCAACTTATTGCTATAAGTTATTTCTTGTGCGCGATATCATATTGACTGACAATGAGAACTTAATGAATTTGATGGATTATATTCTCATATATTCCAGGGGTATCATAATCACCGACAATGCGTCACGGGAACATCCCAAAATATTCAAAGTACAAAGCTCCCTGCGAAAGTTGACCCCGACCTCGATCCACCAAGGTCGGGACCAAGCCTAAGACGATGAATTAACAAAGGACAGAAGACCGGCCGAGGCCGACTTCGACCCACCGAGGTCAGCAGAGACACCAAGCTTGGGAATCACCCAGTGTCACGCCCCGGACCTATCCGGACACGTCAACAACCCACCGTATAATACGAATAGTCAACCGCAGTCTAACACATCCATATTATACAAGGCGTCTTGAATATGATTCACACATAAGTCTTCCATAAGCATACATAATAAGCAATTCAATACACATCGGAAAACATAGTTTGAAAACAAATGCCACATGGGGCAAACATGAGCACACAGGCTCTATAGTGAAAAATATCCATGAGCATGTTTATAAATGTTCAAAAACAGAATGGAGGAAGCACGAACCAAGTCTCCTCTCAAAGATGATCACCCGATCAACGAGCACAGGTAGCAAGCTCTAGCCTCAACCTGAAATAGTGGTAGCCCACCCGAAAGGGGGTCAGTACTCTATACGGCTATAAAGTACTGGTGTGGATGACATCTAATAGATTTACAACAAGTATTTCAAACTCAAGACCCTCAAATAGGGTGATAATATAATGAAGGTCGTAACCCCAAGTTACCCCTTTTCAAAATATACGTACTTTATATATAAAGTCAAGTAGTCGACCTGCAGGCCCAAGGTTTGTTTACAAAACATCAACCCAATACCCCGTGACTACCAGTCACGACAATTCATAGGGTCCAACCCTAACACGTATGTTTTCATTTCTTGAGTCTAACTCAAGTACATCACCATGCAAATCATATGACACAAGTCAATTACTCCACCGTGCATTTTTAGAGTCCAACTCAAGTACATCACCATGCACAACTTAGGCTACAGCCTCAAATTTCCCATGCATTTCTAGAATCCAACTCAAATACATCACCATGCATGTCATCAATCACAACCCCTTGTCTGCCCATGCACTTCTAGAGTACAACTCAAGTACATCACCGTGCCATGGCATAGACTCAATTCCTAAGCAAACCTATGCCTACAATTGAGATATCAATAATCTATTTTGGGACATCCTTATGGACTGCCAATAACATGATCTTAGCATCATACTAAATCAATATAGTCACTTGAATCACATTCAAGTACATCACTTACAATCAAATCCTTAGATTCAATTCCTTAACAATTACAAACAATCATTAACTAGTATTTCAATAATATTAAGATTATTCCTATCAATCAAATATTCCATTTATAAATCCCTACATATTTAGAGATATGTAGCAGCAACATAAACATCCAATGTAATACATAAATACTCCTTTATGTATCTACACATTTTACACATGAACAAGAATGCCTGTTTTACATAACACTTCATTAATAGCTCATTTAACTCCATTTTTTTCAATATGATTTCAAATCATTTCCAATCTCATTCCTTATCAAATATATCAATATTTCATCAATAATCAATCATCATAATCCATGAAAACATGATTTAGACATTTAGGTAATCTCATGCTTAACCTACAAGTTGTAAGCAACCAGATGTCGATCCTCACCTCAATTGAGCTTTAAACCTTTCCTTCTCAATCCAATGCTCAAAGCTTTGGCCAAGGAAGATTTAGAACTGATTCCTTGCTTATAAATGATTGTTAGACAGCCTCCTCAAGGTGCTAGTTCAACTCGTAACCGATGATACGAAAACAGCCCCTAGAACGGGTGTTTTCCGGCGAAATCGTTCCTAACATTTCAAGGTTTGTTCTAGGTTAGTATCTAACCTTTACAACAAATAAAGTAACCTTATAATAACATTTTATACACTTGAAATAGTGTATAATAGTTCCACCAGTCGTTCATATCATTTAGATAATGAAAAGGAAGGTTTGGGGTTCAAAGTCACTTTAAAGAAACAAATCTGTTTCTGCGAGGTAGCTTCTGCCTTCGATGATTTGAAAGCCTTAAACTACTCCGTTTTCTGCAAAACGCACGTCTACAGATTCTATTTCGAGAGATTTCTGTAGACATCTCACACGCCTTATTTGGACGAGTGTAGCTCGAGATATGGCTCAGACAAGCAACTCTACGCACTGGAAAATATCCCTGCAGCCAGCTCCCCTTTCTCTTCTTTTCTTGAGTTGTGTGGCCCCTCTTTCCTCCCTTATCTTTGGTGCTCGAATTTTGGAGGTTTGAAAGAGTGTCTAAGAGTCTTCAATCATTCTAGCTAAGCATGTGGTTCACAAAGGAAGCATGGGAGATATTTGATTTGCAATCAAATATGCGGTGAACCTCCCTCATTTATCTCTTTTTGTAATGTCTTGCTCTTAAGTCAACATGTCCGTCCTATATAGTCATCTCACTAATTTTTCTTTGTCTTGCAGGTACTCAAGTCATGTGGAGTGGTTCCCAATTGATCCTAATCAATTTGTGGTCCAAAGTATATACGAATACTTCCAAAAATGGAAAGATGAGTCCTATTGTTTTATCTTTGTCATGAGATGTCTTTTTGTACTCATTCCAATTTATATAGACCAAATCAACTCTCTACATCATATTGTTGGTCTGTAATATACGTAGGATAGTCCCAAATAATTTATATGATGTATAATTATAGAAGAAAACCATATTCCCATTACTTAGCTCAATAATGCCTAAGGCGGGACCATATGAGTTTGTATGCTTCCCAAATCAACACATTCACTTATTTGTGACCCTTGAATTTGTATTCCTGGGCTACAAGCCGTGTGGACCATACTCGAGTGGGTATAGGACGTCATTCTTGAATAATTACTATTTTTAATAGGTTAGGCCCAAAATAACATTTGGGCAGCCCGCCGTTATTACTTTGTATCGAAGGGTTATATATCTTTATTTAAAAAATGTTGGGCCCTGTATCCAATAAGATGGCCCAATTAAGTATTTGTAAGCCCATTACTATTATACGAGCCCAAACAGTAATATGATTAATCATGCATCACGTAAAACATTAATCGTTTTACAATTGTTCAATAATAGGGAAATTCAATACATAAGCTTTGAATTTTAAATTTGAATTCCAAGGACGCTCGGGTGCGGTGTCACACCCAGACATGGCAAGATATGAGGTCAACCTTGAACACACCGAGCTTGGTACCAACTCTGACCTCAGATGCAGACGCAGGGTCAACCGAAGTCAACAGAAGAAGTGGCAACACAAGACAAGACCGAAGACCGAAGATGTACCCTCCAATAGATGAGCACGAGCATCCGAGCTCTGACCTCAGGGAGCTCAGGGCCTCACCAAGCATCATGGACTTAGACAAAATACGAAAACAAGTACCACACAAGGCCATCGCCACATCATCAATGCCTCTAGGAGTAGCACGTCATTCCCAACAATCAAGCGGAAGAATATTCGAGATAATACACATGTAACCCGCACATGTATTCCAGTATAAGTTTGTTGTAGGCACTTCCAATCAGCCAGCTGTCCCAATTATCTCTCCAATCACCTTTACACCTGGCAGCACCCCATTAGATTAGTTTGTTTATTTTGTTAGAGAGGCAGGACACGCGTCTACTCCTTAGCGGATTAACATCTTTTTTACTTGGGCACCAAATATTTCTCTTTTAGTATAAACATCACCTTCCAGCTTGTGGAAAGGGATCCGAAATTAGACTCTCTTGCTGTTACTATGCTGAAGTACTAACTTAGCTTTTCCGATTATCTTCTCTACTTATTTTCTCGGATTCCGGCTACCCGCTAGGTTGTCGATCCATCAGGACTGTTTAAGGTTAAAGCTTATGTGTAGAGTTTGGTGCAGGCGCACCGGTGGGCGTAACTCAACTGGTAGCAAGGGAGTGCCACAAGGGTTATGTCCCAGGTTCGAATCCCGGCAACAAGGACTGTTTAAAAATGCATAGGGCTTCTGTAAGTATCGGTGACAGAGCTTCACTCTCTATATGTCAGATCGGGAGTATAGTCCAATTTACATCCTCTCAACGTACCGTCCGGTCGGGATTGAGGGGCCACAGAAAACCCGCAACAAGGAGAAGAGCGGGTTGTCGAGTACCCTCGCTGAAGACAACCAGCAGCGGGTTGGAAAAAAATCAATGCCAATGCCTCTACAAATGGTTTGTGTTATTGCATAGGATGAGTTGTCAGATACGAGTTTGGAGAGTTTTTTAGCAAGTTGAACCGTGGAACTAATACTTGGTGGGGGTATGTGTACTCCTTTGGAAGTTGAAGTAGAAGGGATTCAGGAAGTTTTGAACCGGTTGAAGAATAAAAATTGGGACTCGATGGAGGTGGAGTCAGATTCGTCTGTGGCTATTTCTGTAATTCGATGTGATTGTAATATGACTATGGAGGGTATTCTAACGAGAGACATTAAAGACATCACTTTTATATTTAAAAATATTTTCTTTAGTTTTGTTAGGCTAAATTAAGTGGCTCATGAATTAGCAAAAACAACATATTTTATAGCCTAGTTTTGTGGAATCATGCTCCTTATTGTGTTCTTAATACCTTGACATTTGATGTAATTAATGCCAATTAAATCATTTTCTTCCAAAAAATTCCAAATGGCCATACAAACGGTACGCCACGTGTCATATGATATTGTACACATTAGAGATTTCTTTGGATGATGAGATTAGATATGGTGAATGGTGAATGGTGATTGATCAACCAATATACATGCACAAATATATGCTGTCCACACAGCCATAGCTCTCTGCTCAAACTACTCCAACACTGTGAAGAAGAAGAAAACTGGCAGCAGAGATGGCCTTAGTAAAACCCATACTGAAGTTTAGTCCTTCCGTTACTCCACGGCCGAGCAGCAGCCGGAAACCGCCTCTCTTCAGCGTGAGAATGTCGAGCACCGCCACATCGGCGAAGCCGGCGAAGAAGGCCGCCGGCAAGCAGGCGATCAAGGAATCCCTCCTGACGCCGAGATTCTACACGACGGACTTCGAGGAAATGGAGAGGCTTTTCAACACGGAGATTAACAAAAATCTGAAGGAGGATGAGTTCGAGTCGCTGCTTCAGGAGTTCAAGACGGACTACAATCAGACCCATTTCGTGAGGAACAAGGAATTCAAGGAGGCCGCCGACAAGCTTCAGGGTCCTCTCCGGCAGATATTCGTGGAATTCTTAGAGAGGTCTTGCACTGCTGAGTTCTCTGGTTTCCTTCTCTACAAAGAACTCAGTAGAAGGCTCAAGGTATCTTCTTCAAAAACTTGCTTTCTTTCCCATTAACACTACTAATCTAAAAGTACTAATTATATGTAGAAGAGTGTTCAACATACGCTATGCTATATAAACGGTTCGATAATTTTGGCTCCTTGCTAAATCAAGAAAGAGCGTCAGTTAGGGTAATTTGGGTCTGTTTGGTATCAGTAGATAAAAGCTATCTTAAAGCTTCCTAATTGCTGAAAACATGGGGACTTAAGATTTCATCTTAACTCTTCATTTCAATAGAGTTAACTTAAGCAAATTGTTGAACGTAAACCTAGATTTAGTAAAAAATTGATCCCAGGTGAATAAGGTGGTGGAAATATATAAATATTGTTTGGGTAATTGTGAAGGTAATGCAATGCACATGAATGGATTTTTTTTGGATGGAGGTTAAACTAAATGGATATATGACTTTATTTATAAATAAAGTTAACCTAAACTTGATTGTTGAAGATCTTCGGAAGTTATTTGAGCTAAACATAAATATCTGAAAACAGAGGTTATTTCCATGAAATGGCACGCAGACAGGGTGAACCCAAAAGTAAACCTAGAAAAATATAGTTTCAAACAGGGGTGAACCCAAAAACATACTACGTACTGTATAGGTTCAAGAGAGTATTCTAATGCCTTTATGTGTGAGTTTCTATTTTATATTTGGTGTATGATGTATGATGACTTAGATGGGGGAAGCCCTTAAATAGGATATATATATAAGCTGTGGAAGATCTAATTAATTGTTGTTAAAGTGTCATGTAACTTCAGTACTTGACTACTTGTTATGTAAAAAGACAATCATTATACCTTGTACTCTTGTAGATGGACAAAGTTATAACTTTTGTAAAAAATTAAGGTTATCAGTGGAAATAAGTTACAATATAGAAACTTATTTTGAAAAGCTATAGGAAATAGTTTGTTAAATAAGTGATTATTTTAAGCTATTCTAATATCAACAAAACGCGCAGTTAGAATATTTGGAGTTTAAAGTAAGTTCTAGGTTCCAATATAAGCTCTATCACACGGACACTTATATAAGCCATGATTCCATGAATAGCGAAGAGTTCAATCATGAACGATTAAAACCTAATTATAACTGAACTATTTGGGAAATTTTGTACTAGTGTGAGGATGATAAAAAATGTTCTTTTGCTTTCTAATAACCTTGCAAAGTTCCCCCCTTAAATCTTGACCGTTAGGCTTTGGAAGATACTCCACGCACGGATGTATTTGATAAACTGACTCTCTTAAAATAAGCTTAAAATCAAATAAAAACCAGTGTAGTATAACTGCTAACTAACACTGTTTGGATATGTTTCTTGCAGAAAACAAACCCTATTGTAGCAGAGATATTTTCTCTAATGTCTAGGGATGAAGCTCGCCATGCTGGGTATACATTTATATATGCTGTGTGTACTTTATTAGAGAACGTTTGAGTTAGAAGTCATCAGAAGTTGAGGTAAATGCTTGTTTTTGTAATTTTGAAATGCGCAGATTCTTAAACAAGGGATTGGCCGACTTCAACTTGGCATTGGACTTGGGCTTCCTGACTAAGGCCAGAAAGTACACATTTTTCAAGCCCAAATTCATCTTCTACGCAACATACCTGTCTGAGAAAATTGGGTACTGGAGATACATTACCATATATAGACACCTGAAAGCGAATCCGGAATATACGTGTTACCCAATTTTCAATTACTTCGAGAACTGGTGCCAGGATGAGAATCGCCATGGCGACTTTTTCTCTGCTTTGATGAAAGCTCAACCTCAGTTCCTCAATGACTGGAAGGCAAAATTGTGGGCCCGCTTCTTTTGTCTTTCGGTAAGTCTTATAGGGATAGTTTTGTGTACTTTGTTCTAATAATGTCTTTGTTTCTGATCAAGTATCCCACATTGAAAAATTTTCTACAACAGATGGACTGTGAAGCCTTATTCTATATTTTGTTAAGCCGTCCTTCATCAGAAAAATACAAAAGTATGAATTCACATGTACGATTTTAGATTACTATTAGGTTGACATTTAAGAATGAAACTCCAAATATAAATATGGTTTAGAGCCAATTAAATTCAAACAAGCATTTGATAGAACTAAGACTTAAATAGAACACACAAATATGTTAAGTAATCACACAGTGACCAAATACGAAATCACATGTAAGGTATTATTCCTCCCATTGAGTTATCTTGTATGTTAGAAATCAAATAATTTTAAGGTTGTGACTTGATCTTCTGCTCTTTTCTGTTGTTGGGCATATTTGAGATTGCAATTTGAAAATTTCCTTGCATTGTGCAGGTTTACGTGACTATGTATCTCAATGACTGCCAGAGGAGTGCTTTCTATGAAGGCATTGGCCTTAACACAAAAGAATTTGATATGCATGTCATCATTGAGGTGAGTTATTTTACTTATCTTTCTGTGGCGTTGTGCATTATTTCAACATTTTGTTTGTCTGTGCAGTATTCAGTTTATCAACATCATTAGTTTTTGCATCTTGAAAAGACAGTATGGATTTGATAGGAATCAGGTCATTAGACTAATAAATAGAAATAATAATAATAAATGAATATGTAGTATAAATAGACGGAAAGGGGAGTTGGTTAGGTAGGCTGTTTTAGACGTAGGCTACGTTCGGTAGAGGCTTTCCAGCTCAAAATTGGCTGAAGTCTCTATATTTCAGCCTATTATTCCACAAATATTGTTGTTTGGAGAAAGAACTGAAGTGAGCTTAAGTTGATTTGAATGGGCTGAACCAGAACGTTAAGAAAGTAAACGTTTCAATTCAGCCAACAGAGCTGATAAAAAGGATTCCGAGATTAGCCCAAAAAGATTCTAGAATTATGCAATGCGGAAGACGCCTGCCCACCAGGAAAACGTTTGGGGGACTTTGGGCTACACTTCCGTCATGGGGGCTCAAAGCTTCAACTTGGGTGAATGGTTTACCAGCTTGAATGGGAGCAAGAGAACTAGTCTCGCAAATAAACATTTTGAAATGAAAACCAATAGGGAACTTTATTTTCTAAAGAGAAATTAGAGAACTACAGAAGTTATGGAACTTTATTTTCCAATAAAAATAAATATAGAGCATTGTTTGAACTTTGAACATCGTATTTTTTTTGTGTTTTGCATTTCAAATACTCCGTATTTATAGTCCAGGTTCAATTTGTTAAAAAATATACTCCGTATAAAATATATGCGTAGTAGGATACTAATATTTTATCAAAATGTAAATAAACTATTTACGCCCTATAACGTAATTTATATTTTCCAGTCGCCTTTCCACCTTTTTTTGTGAAACGGGTATACTTCATTCAGCTACCAATTCAGATTCAGCACTACATAATTCAGTTTCAGACAATAATCTCCAATTCAGACGATAGCTCTCAATTCAGACTTTAGTCTCCAGTTCCAGCTCATTGTGCCAAACATAGCCGTAGTCTTGGGACTTAGGAAGATTGAGATTTTCTCTCTCTCCCTCTCTCTCTCTTTTGGGGGGCTTCGGCTCATTTAGGGGCTTCGGCCAGAATTCTTGTTCATCTCTAATAAAGTTTGCAGTTGATTCTTGATATAGTTCTCTGTAATTTCTCTGTATAATTGAAGAGTTATATCAGGATTTATTATGGCTTTTCCTAACCTTTTGTCCCTTGATATCTTACATCTCATTGGACACCTATGTTTACTGTGCTTATTAGCCATTTCAACACAAAGACAGGATCATATTAACATACAATAATGTAGTTTACTATTTAGGCTGTGTTCAATAATGTCAATAAAGACAGGAAATGTCAATCAAACATTTAGTTTTGCATACTATTTTATTTATTTCATTAATAAAGTGTTTCTTTCAATAATTAAGTGAACTTGCCTCAATTTCAGAAACTTTGTCCAACTTAACCCTTGCCAAACAGACTTTTAGGATGTTTTTAGTTGAACTTATAATTTTATGCAGAGTTTACTACGTAGTACTATCATATTATCTAAATATGGTATGGTTAGGTTTGATTTTTTACTGAAACCAATTCAAGTGAAAATATCCTTACAGTCACTCTTAGTTTTATTGCCTTATTGGTATTCCCATTGCAAGTAGCTGTCAGTCAGCCATGCCATTTGGTATCATCCTTGCTAGGCAAAAGACAATATTGAGATTCGGTATCTGCAGAATGATCTTTAATTGTGTTGTGTTGGATGCAGACGAACCGAACAACGGCTAGAATCTTCCCGGCTGTACTAGATGTGGAGAACCCGGAGTTCAAGAGGAAGTTGGACCGAATGGTGGAGATCAACCAAAAGCTGATCGCAGTCGGGGAGAGCAGTGACCTTCCCGTGGTGAAGAATCTGAAGAGAATCCCTCTCGTTGCTGCCCTTGCTTCTGAGCTGTTTGCTGCCTATCTCATGAAACCTGTTGATTCTGGTTCCGTTGACCTTGCTGACTTCGAAACCCAGCTCGTTTACTGAATGAAGACTGCTCTCCTCTTCTTTAATTCTGCAAAAACACGATTGTGTATAATCATCCGGTCAGAGAGAAATTTCCTCTTCGTTTCTATTTGGCTGAATTAATTAATGATCAGAATGATCTTATAACCATGAGATGCATGCGATTATCTACAACTCCATTGGGTGATGGACTACTTTCAATGAACCAATGTCATCTCCCAAACCTGACAGGCCGTGCAATTGGATCTTAGCATTAGCCGTTAATGTCTTTATGGATGTTATTGGTCGCAGGGCCGTTAATTGTTTCATCGGAAGTTAAGTTAATTCTTGCGGTCTCCCCTGATTGTCTAGCTAAAAGTTAAATTTACTTTTTAAAATTATACTTCATTCGTTCCGTTAAAGATTGATGAGTGGTTCTACTCTTAGTGTATTTTTACTTTATCGTAGGGGTGGACCGGTTCTGGTTCGGGCCCGATTCAGGCCTGGGCCCGGCCGGGCTTCGGTTCATGAAAGGGGAGGCCCGGAACCGGCCCGGGTAACCTCGGGGCCGGGCCGGGCCTCGGTTCATTTTTTTTTGGGATTTTCCTAATTAACCCCCAACCCTCCCCCTCACCCCCAAACCACCTCAAATGGCCCATCATACCCAGTCCAACCCAAAAACTTAAAAAAATTCAAACAAAAAAATATTGGCCCGGACCGGGCCCGAACCGACCGGGTCGGTTCACTATTTAGCAGGTCAGGGCCCGAACCGCCTACCTCACCGGGCCGGGTGGCCCGAACCGGGCACCAATCGGTTCACCGGGCCGGTTGGCCCGGCCCGAGTCCACTCCTACTCTATCGATTCAAATATTTTTTTGTATGCTTACTTTTCTTAGTGATCACATCATTACTAGAAAGGAGGTAGTACTAAAGGCTCTATGTAAAGGTGCAAACCAAGTTCGAAAATAAAAAAGTTGATCTACAAAATAATGTAAAATGGAATCATCTTTTCTGAATGAACGCTAAAACGGCAAATGATAGAAGCAAACGATGACATGAAGTCAATAAAAGAAATGCTTTTTGAAAGTTGTGTTTCATTTTCTTTCTATAATTCTAGCTAATCCTAATAATGATTAGAACTAGCTTTTTGACATAGTCCAAAATCGAAATCCATAATTAAAAAGACTAAAAACACTGTTGCAGAAAAAGAAGAAGACTAAAAACACCCTCAAAAGGGCCAATCTTCCGAATTACTCCGACAAAATTTGTCAGGTCAATCTTTTAGCACTCTTAAAAATCTTTAACCTTGATTCTATTCATCTATCTGACTGCATTTTTTGATACAAAAATGCAAATAAACATAGTCACTTTTCCTAGAAAGAAATTCAATTGAATATATGCAAGTCTTAAAAAAGTCAACCTCATAGGAAGAGTCGTTAAATAAGATGGCTTGTTGACCAATCTTGCCGTCCGTGGAATCACTATTGAGGATTACCTGAACTAATTACTTGTTGGAGTTTAATTGACCTTGATGTTGTATCCTAATCGTGTCAAACTTTATATGTTATTTTGCGTTTTTATGAATAGTCGGTCTGAGATATTTAATACGGAGTAGTTATTACAGAGTATATTCTAGAAACTTTTTAAAAAGTGAATGGGGAAAATGTCGTTTTTTTGTTAAACGAAAATGAGTGTTTGTTTTCTCACATCCCAAATTCATTTTCTTATTTCTGATTCTTTGATTTTCTAAAATACGGAGTACTATGATTAAACCATCAAAAGGTTCGTTGCTTGTCGATTGCGAAGCGTTCAATTTTCATAATTTAATTAATGGTGAGTGTGTTGGTGGTATTTGTTTTTTTTTTACTGAAAAAAAAAAATACCACCAACACACTCACCATTAATTAAATCATGTGCATCTTTTACTATGAAAATTGAACGCTTGATATTACAATGCGAGTTTAACCAGAAATTATGATCCGGTTACAATGCGGAAGATTGACGCTTGATTTTACTATGTTGGTGGTATTTGTTAGAAAATTGATATTACAATGCGAGTTTAACCAGATAAAAATCTCGAGCTTAAACAGATCACCAGACAAACCGCCAAATGCAAGGACAAAAATAATAGTAATAATTAGAATAAATTAAAATGAATAAAGATAAAAGATAAGAAAACTTATCGCAGGATCGCCCGTTAAGACGGACTGGCCTTGAAGAAAGATAACCCCCGTATCCTGATAGCTATTCGGACGGGTCTGGCTAGCTCGCTCCCAGAATAATCCTGCCACGTTTCAGGCTTGTAGCTACCTTGATTGAAACCTTCGACCGTTGCCAAATTTGCTGACTGATAGAGAGATGACTTAAACAACTATGAAAACTATGATCTCTATTTCTTTTTGGAAAAGAAAAGAAGTCACGGATGAAAGACTAATTCAAAGGAAAAGGAGTTTTTCTTTTTGAGCATTAACGATAATCATTTTGAATTTGAATTCAACTTAATAATCCGATCAGCTATTAAATTATTCACACAATTAAAGAGTCTCTAGAATTACGACATTTAATAACATCACTTATAATCTGCCCGGTCAAACGCACATATAAGTGAAAAATAAAATGTCACATCACCTTATATGATACTTGAACAATGTTTCTTATCACATAATGATTATAAATAACCATGTGAGACTGTTTATCCTCTAATATAGAACAAATAAATTCATACTTTTAATACATCACTTTACAATCTTTACAACTATGGATTCTAATTATAATTTAAATCCAAATATGTAGTTGTTCATTTGATGTATTATCAACCACTACTCCATATTTAATGCAATTATATCTTTTGGCACGAAATTGTGATCCTCAAAATAATATTTATATCATCAAATTTCCAACAGTATTTTCAATTTGGTAGATTCTATGATACCCTTAAGATACCGTACCTTTGTCCACATGGACCAATCAGAATGATGTATTTGAATTATTTAAATCTAAATTAAAAATGATGTAATGATTTGAATCAATAAAGTGAGTGACAGGTACGGTACCCCATTTTTTAAATGGGTACCAGAGTTGGTGACCTTTCAATTTACATGTTTGGTTGAAGATTAACGGTGGATTATAAATTCATAATGCTGCTCGTCCACATCGACAAGTAGCCTAGGAAGTCGATAAACCTCTGGTACAGAGGTTGTTCATACGACTATATGCAGTGATTATGAACATTACTTTCTCCTTTTTCTAAAGTTTGCTCCTAGTCTTATAGCCATCGTTGTTTGTAGCCTATAAGAATGAGAGATTAAAAGTGAGCAAAATGGGAGAAATGATTAAAAAAGATGGAATATTATTATACACCCTTAATGGTTGGCCATAGGGCTGGTCAGTCGAGTCAGATACCCGGGTTTGGGCCGGTTTCAAGTACCCAGCCAGTCCGATTCCGGTTCCGGTTCCGGTCCAGAACCTGGTTACCATTACCTTTTTTTAGCTTTTTGGCCCGTTGAAGATAAAAATTCCGGACAAGGAACGAAACCGAGATCGGAACAGCCCGATCTAGCCTCCAAAACTCGGAACCGGGACCATGAACAACTCTAGGGAGGTCCAGTCCCAGGCCCGAAACCGCTCAAAACAAACCTGGTCCAGGCCGAAACAGTGTCTGACCCGGTTCCGGACCTGGTCCACCTCTAGTACTTAGCCATGACTACTAGTTCAAACATAAATTTGATTTCAAATGTGCTAGTTTTGAGTTTGTTTTGATATTCTCATGCCCCCTTGAATCGATGCTCGTTCTCAAGAGAATTTAACAAATAGGAAGAGTGTAGCAAAAATTAAAATACATCCAAAAAAGGAAAGCATAACAAACATTTCGATACAAATGGGTAAAATAAAAAACTACTTGTTCTATCAACAATTGGGGCAAGTAAAATTTACGAAATGAAGCTTATATTACTAGGCCTTATTTTACTTATTTTACTAAATTAAATGAGAAAGACAAAAATGTGACTAGTTCCAAGTTTTCCAAAGAAGTGTCGGAACGTGCTTAATCCCCTTCATTAAATACGGATTACTACATTTATTATCATTTTTGTTTTATACTTCACACCGAACGTCACAACCAACACACATCCACCGCACACATCTCAAGTCACTCCGGCCCTTGTCTAGTGACTATGTTCGCCCAGTGACTCACCCGTTGTCCAGTGACTCGTCCGTTTCCCAGTGACTAAACCATCCTCTATGTTCAGTGACAACCGCAGAAAAAACCGACGCCCAATTCCAACGACAACTGTTCAGTGACCTCATTTTAGTGACTATCGTCGCCACCAATCGTTAGTCACCACCATCGCTGCCAACCTTCAATGACTACCATCGCTGCAACCCTTAGCGAGTACAACCTCATCTAGTGACAAACGCCTAGTACATTTACCACCGCCATCCCCCATACCCCCTCTTCTGCCCCCATCCCTAGTCCAAGACCCGCTCCCCTGCGCCCTCCCTAGCCCCAGCCCCACCCGCAGACTCCCTCTCCGACCCCATCTCCAGTCCCAGACCCCCTCCTGCCCCCTCCCCAGTCCCAGACCCCCTCCCCTGCTCCCAGATCAGATCAGCTGCTCTCCGTCAATCTGAACATTCGCCGTCAATCAGTTGCCATGTGGGGCGTGCTAGAATAGAAAAGCGAGAAGAGATAAGTGGTGGGCCGGTGGTGTTTCTTTCACGGCCACAACCGCCTGATTGACGTCGTTCTACAATGTTACCCGCATACACCATCGTTCGCCGCCCAATCGCAGACAGAGAACAAGAAGAAGAGTGGCAGCGATGTTACTTGAGGCACGAATCAACGATGATTAATGGATGGGAGATGAAACCGTGGTAGCCAAGGGGTGAGGGGCAAACCAGCGACGAATGGGTGAGAGATGAAGCAGCGACGGCGGTCGGGTCGATGAGAGCTGAGGCGGCGTGTGGAAGATGTGACGACGGCGGACGTATGGAGAGAGGAGAGGAGAAGTTGTCGATCTATCTGTCATATACTTTCTCCGATTCATAAACAAGTTTCACGTTTGACTTAACACATTTTAAGAGAATAAATTTGATTTTATTATGGAGTACACTGTTTGGCACTGTTTGAACACTGTTTGATACTGTTTGACACTGTTTTGATGAAGATAAAAGGAAATGTTTGAAAGTGGAATTAATTTTGAATCTGCCCAAAAAGGAAAGGTGAAACTTCTTTTCAAATCGGAGGGAATATTTGGTAATGAAAACTCTCATAGTAATTTTCCTGCCATTTTTTCATATTACTATTAGTACCTAATCTACTTATCTATGCGTAGACATACTTCAGAGATTAGAACCTAATGTCCTAATCCATGAAGACACTTAGATCAGGAGAGTAACCGGTCAAGACCATCAGAAATCTACCAATATACTTCGTGATGCATTAGGTAACGTAAACTAGATTCTCCCAGAAAGAACCAATGGGCATAGCTCAACTAGTCAACTGATAGCGAGGGAGTGGCACAAGGGTTATATCCCGGGTTCGAATTCCCGCAACTGCGATGAAAGATTATTGTGCTAAAAAATGTTTAAGGCCTCTGCAAGTATCAAGGACAGAACCTCACTCTCTATTTGTCAGATTGTGATTATAGTCCAATTTACATCCTCTCAACGTATCGTTCGATTGGGGACCCTCAGAGATGGGGTGTCATCCTATTCTTTTTTCCCAGAAAGAAAACAAACCTTAGATACATGAGTCAGAAGAACATAGAAATTACATTAGCTCAAGTCCATATCTTAAACCACCATCCAAAACAAATAACAAACAAAAAATACAAAACAAAAGGTAAAATGACAAGTAATAGTGGCAAAGCATTCTTCATAATTATACTAAGCTGCTTCTGACCCTATCCATCGAACCCTCACCATCATCACTTGGCCATCATAACCTTGACAAACTCCTCGTAGTTAATCTGACCATCTCCGTCAACATCTGCCTCCCGTATCATCTCGTCCACCTCTTCGTCCGTTAGCTTCTCCCCAAGATTGGTCATCACGTGACGAAGCTCGGCAGCAGAGATGAAACCATTCTGATCCTTATCAAACACTCTGAATGCCTCTTTCAACTCCTCCTCTGAGTCAGTGTCCTTCATCTTCCTAGCCATCAGATTTAGGAACTCAGGAAAGTCAATAGTTCCATTTCCATCAGCATCAACTTCGTTTATCATATCCTGGAGCTCAGCTTCAGTGGGATTCTGCCCCAATGATCTCATCACAGTCCCAAGCTCCTTTGTTGTGATGCAACCTGGAAAACTATGATTAATTAGTTTAAGAAGCATTTGCCAATAGACTCACCTCTTGAAATTATTTAGGCATTTCACAGCAACAAATCAGATGCATTTAGGTTTGCAATTTTCCTCGGGACAGGGTATGGAAGAGAAACAAGAAGAGTGCTATGGGATATTTTATACTTAGAGTTGGACATTTGGTTGTCACATAGAAAAATACATTAGAAAATAAAATCTGCTAAAACAAATAGTAAGTTTACATTTACATTAACTCTAAACGTTTATAAATAATACTAACAAATAAATAAAAACGAGATTTGAACCAATATCTAAAAAAAAATATGCATATTTTAGTTTTTCACCGAAATTTTCTTCTAGATCAGTTCTCTCTATTTCCCTTCCAATTTTATTTCTCTAGGCTCTAGCATTTTCATACCAATAGTAAGTTTACATATACATTAACTCTAAACGTTTATAAATAATACTAACAAATAAATAAAAACGAGATTTGAACCAATATCTAAAAAAAATTATGCATCTTTTAGTTTTTCACCGAAATTTTCTTCTAGATCAGTTTTCTCTACTTCCCTTCCAATTTTATTTCTCTAGGCTCTAGCATTTTCATACCCCTGCAGAACACGAATCCAAACTACCTAAGTTGTTTTGGTTATTAAAGGATAGCTCCATTCAAATTAACCATAAACATCATAATATCTTGAATGGAAACTGTATCGCGACCTAGAGACGCATTTAAGAAACATACACCCAGTATGATTTTTTATGGATCAAGGAAACGAAACAAGTTGTACAAACTCATAGAGTACAATCCAAATCGACCATTGATAGCTAGAAACAATTATGCAAGGATTGCCTTCGCGTGGTGAAAGTTAAACAAAGAGTAAATGTTCAAAATATTCAAGATCCAGATATGCTCCCGGTCACCATATCCTATGAATCTAAAACAGCTCCTCTAGCAAAACCTAATTCTATTGCCACAAGGCCAAAAGGTGTGGCATGGTATAGATAAACCATACGGTTGCTAGAAAAAAACATATGAAAAATAGCCAGATCTGAGCACACAGGCGACAAACGAAGAGAAAAAAAAGGCCAAAAAAGGAAAACAGGAAAGAAGTGTATGCATCAAAAAAGATGAGGGGGGGGGGGGGGGGGGGGGGGGGAGAAGCGTACCATCGCCGTCCTTGTCGAAGAGGCTGAAGGCTTCCTTGAACTCGGTGATCTGATCATCGGTCAGCTGATCCGCCATTTCTCGTTGCAGAAACTACGAATGAGAAGGAGAGCGGGAAAATGCGCGGCGGAACAGATACTTCTGTAAAGGAATTGGAGGAGCGGATGAACTGTGAGGTACCGGAGGTTCGTCTCCGTTTTATACAGAGTTTATGACAACGACAACGATTTGACAACGGTGGTGTAATTATCAACTAATTATTATTATAATGATTTTTAATTTAGAATTCATTAATACGGAGTAGTGTTGGTATATACGGAGTATATTTAAACTCGGAGAGTTTATTTATTTATTTATACAAAAAACGATTAGACTTTTCAGCGTCAAAATTTACATTCAAATTTTATGCATTACATCCGGACAGTCACCGGCTTCTGTATTGTTTGCTCCCGTTTTTTGCGCTTTACCCCTTTTACTTTTATAATTATTACTTGCGCTATGGATTGGCCAGGAATTCTTTGGAATTTGTACAGCCAAATTACTGGTGTAAATGTAATGGTATTTTATGATATAAGTCAAAATAAAGTTTCGTTTACGTTCCTGTCTTTGAATAAAAGAAATAATTGCACTAGTATTACATATCATTAGGTAGGGCCTAAAAAAAGAATCTGATCAAGGTTTAATTTTATAGGTCATGAATTTGGCTACGACTCTCTCAGAAAAATTGTAGATAATGAAGTCTTTTATCCATCACAACTTGAATCATTTGATTTGTATCATCACATCAAAATATATGATTGAAATAATAACAAATGTTTATTGAGAAATCTCAACAATGAGAGTGTGCCTTCCTCATATGAACGCACATTCATCATCTCATTTTCTAGTCATGATGTATTCACATGATATGTGTAGCTACTTGAGTTATATTTGGCATGAGATTTTAGTGATATTATTTATATTTGTATGCGAAAAGACATGCTCAAATCATCGACAAAACATTATCCTGATTCAAGGTTTTGAGTTGGATGACTATACAAATAGTCATTTCCCATGCTCTAAGTTTCCTTCTTCATCTTCAAATTTCATTTTGAGTTGATTTTTTTAAACATAATATAATCCCTCAAAAAATACCATCTCGTATAAAACTTGATAAATCAATATTAATCAAATAATGCAAGAAATTAAGTTAAGGATGTGTAAAATTACTTCCATCTCATTTGCATTAATACAATTGTTCCTATCAATTTGATTATTAGAATGAATGTCATATTTCTTTTTTGGTGTGAATTATGCACTTCAATTAATTTTACTTTATTTTACTCAATTTTAAATCAAAACTATTAATTTTCGACCACTTTATTAATATTGTACTCCGTACCAAACTAAAATACTCGTAACACATTTCTATTTCTTTAAATCAAATTGCTATAATACTAAATTAGACAAGCGCTTTACGCGTTTGCTACGCGGGGTGGTGGCCTACATGGGCCATATTGACCAAAAACTCTTGCTGCCATGTTGTACTGGGGCCCAGCTCTGTTATTAGCAAAAAAATCATACGGGAGTACATGTTTGATAGGGCTCCACCAAGCACAAAGTTAAGGGCGTGTTTAATAACAGAAATATTTTCATGTTTTTCGTTCTCCAATTTTCTGTTTTTAGTTTTCAGTTTTTCAATCTCCAGTTTTTTGTTTCTATTTTCTAGTTTTCCATTTTTAAATTTGAAAACATGTTCATCAATTTTTTCATCTAGTTCTGTGATCATCCAGAAGACTGACAAGTTTACTTCACATGTTACTAAATGATACTTATTAAGACTCGCGTTAATAAGCGACGCATAAAATAAGCAGTGTTATAAGATCATGTTTACTTCAAAAGGTTTAAAACATCGTTTAACATTAAAATGTCCAAAATAACCCTATACATATATAGACATACAAACATTCATGAACACAAATATATAATATAATATGTTGGGTCAATCACCTCATACGTGTACTCATACTCCTAACCCCTACCCTGCCCCTATACCTCATACCCCCACCCTACACCCTACACCCAATTCCACACACTTGACCCCTACACCTACCCTTACCACGATCTTACATTCTACCCGTACTCCCCTAAAACCATTCATACCCACCCATACCTACTCGTAGGCAGGGCCGAACCCATCCTTGAGGCAAAGAGGCAATCGCCCCAGGCCCAAAAAATTGGTAAATAATAAGGGCCCATAAATAATTGTATTCTAGTATTATATATATATAATTTTTTCTATTTTATTAAAATAACAACAATACAAATAGTACTCCTGTTTTGGAAAACGGTTTGGTAAATGCGTTTTTTTGTTTTCCTTTCTCCTGTTTTCCAGCAATTTTCTTTGGTAAACATGTTTCCTGTTTTCTGTTTTCTAGTTTTCCAGTTTTCTGAAAAACTGGAAAATATCTCTGTCAGTAAAAAGACCCTAAGTCTCGTACTAATAGTACTCCGTATAATACGTATTATTGTTAGTAATTTAAATAGACTTTTCTAATATTTCTAATTCATTGCTTCAATCATTCTATTCTATTAAAGAAAGCAATCAATTCATATTCACCTCCTATAGTAGGTTATTTTAAAAAATAATACTCCCTCCGTCTCATTGAATTTTGTCAATTTTTTTTGTAGTCTCAAAAAACTTTCTCTTTCCTATTAATCCAATTAATTTGTAGTTCAACACATTTATCTCATCTCTGCACAAAACTCAACCACACTATTTTACTTTTCTTATTCGTCACCTACTTTTCACTTGGCAAAGTCCACCGGGATGAAGGGAATACTGTAATAAGGAGTATAAAAAATGGTGCGCTTACTACAAAAGTTGATCATATGAGTACGCTTACTAAAGCACATTATTTTTTGAAAAAATAAATTAAAAAAATTAACAATTCTTCTAAAAATTCATACAAATTTGAAAAATAGTACTCCCTCCGTCCCCCTATAATTGTCCCATTTTTCCATTTTTGGATGTCCCTTTATTATTATTATCTCATACCATATTTGGTAACATCTGTGTGGCTCTAATTTATTCTTACTTTATTTTCACTTTATCAACTCATTACCAACCACATAATTCTACTTTTTTAAAAAACTACACTACTCCCTTCCGTACCAATATTAGGGGGACGGAGGGAGTAATGATAATACAAATGATCGTAAAAATAAAAAAGTAAATAATTTAAATGGTTGTAAATAAAAAATCAGAAAAATGAATACGTATAAAGTATAAAATTGAAATTTACACACTTCTAAAAAAGATGTAGAATATACAAATAACTACAAAAACACCTAAACATATATTTTAAATTCTTAAATTATTTAGAGCTTTTATTCATAACTTAAGCGAATTTAGCCACATAAGTAACTACAACTTTTCTTATTTTGATTATTGTACAATTCAACGTGTGAAATAAAAAATTTTGTACTGAGTGAAAAGGTTGTTTCATAAGACTGATAAGTAAAAAAACATGATCACCAAAGAGACTTTTAATATCAATCTTCTCCTTAATAAAAAACATAAGAATCTAATAATAATAATAATAATAATAATAATAATAATAATAATAATTGATCTTGTCTGAAATATTCTAATCAAGTCCGTATCTTTTTTATTTGATGTGATCCTGATCTTTCTGATGTGATCTGATCTAAATGAAATAATTATAGTTATAATTCGAAGAGCACACATACAACGTTAAAAATTCTACTGTAATTCCGTTGGAATTTGACGACTGTAATGGATAAATCAGAGAGTGAATTATGAATGGTACACTGATCAAAACATATTGTACAAGTGCAATTTGCTTCAGTGGTACACCAACATTTTTATTATTCCTAAAATGCCACAACCATCATTGGTGCCACACCAACATTTAAAAAACCATGTATTAAGTTGTAGAAATATGGCTACTATTATTTTGATTATCACTGTTATCTCTAGGGGGTGAAAATACCTCAAGATAAATAGTGTCGAACCAAGCTCAAGTGACTTATTCCACCGTCATTTTAATTTTTTATCTTGTTATGATGGACCCATCGACCTACCCCGATTAGATTTAAGTAGTGATTGGATTGTCTTTGATGGGCATTTCTCCAACCTGCACGCGTTTAAATCTTGAAGTCACCCACGGTCTCGCGCACCATCAAATGCTTAACTAACGATCATACCCTAGTACTGTTTATGGCCGCTAAGCGCTATGTGCTTTTGCCAATGAGCCTCTAAAAGCTCCTCGCATACCAAGGAGGAGTATGGAGGGGTCTACTGTGACTTAAGTTGGGGCCATTTTCCCTTGGCTGCCATAATCTAAAGGGAGAACGGTAAGGAGAGTACATCTCTCGCCCGATCCAGTCGGGTGGGAGAGCATCTCATCCGCATGTTGTATTCAGAAGGTAAAAATCTGCTCGATCGAACAAGACTACACATAGATACATATTTAAGCAAGATAGGGGAAGAACATGAGCAAGAGTACAATATAATTTTTAGAGCAGATTCAACGCTCAATAATCAAGAAACTGGACGACTTGTGTTGGTATATATTATATATTATGCTAGTCTACTACTATTCAAGAGCCCAACACATTACCCTCACGGAGCCCAACTAGTGTAGTCCATCTAGCCCCATCAAGCCCCTTCTAGCCTATCCGGTCCATTTCATCCATTTAGGTCTACTTTGCACCCCCTCCCCCTTTTCCTTCTCCACTACACTCCCCCTTAATTTTCTCTAGAAAAGCTCAAGAACTCCATTAATGCGAGCTCTGTACAATATAATAATGCGAGGAGAGATTAATAAAATGAGAGTGACTTAGAAATTAGCCGAAAAAGTCTCGTGACTTTCACCCTTTCGGGTTTCAACAATATATACATTTATTTACTATTTCGTAGTGGATTAGTTTCAACAATATATATTATTTACAGAAATATATTACATAAATTTCACTATACCTATTTGAAGTTGTTTATATATCCAAATATTTCTACAAACTAGTCATATACTAATTCAATACTACGATTGTTGTTTATGCCAATTTTAGAATTGAATTTAGTACAATCATTTGTACACTTGTGTGATATGCTAGTAGGAATTGAGTTCCTTTTTTTTGCTAATTTACTAAATGGACATACATGGTAGAATTCAATGAGTGCAATTTTTTATATTATTGTTTTCATGATTA